ACATATTAATTGTAAATAGATGCAAATAGGCACATAACACATATATCACATAATATTGGGCCACGGTTAACAAAACTATCAAACATATGACCGGGATTGCTATAAAACACTATATCATGTTGTTTTCAAAAACTTACTTAAGATCACAAAAATAACAACCATACACCCTTAACGCACACCGAACCATAATACTAACAACCATGTGGCCAGACTTATATGCATGATCATATGCCAACCTTATATTCTCCTGTTACCTCCGACACAAAATCGGTGACTATCACAAGGCTACGTCCTTCACGAACTAACCCAACCTTTTACTTATAAGGAGCTACCGGGCTAGGGTTTAACTCACTCTCTTATGTAATCTGGTTTTTCCCAATACTAACAATAATGGGGTGTTGTACCCTTAATCTAGACTCCTCATAAACTGGTAGAGACTAGTTAGGTTCGAGTCCCTCATAGAACAAGTAGAATAGTCCCGAATCAACTATAGGACAAGGGCTACCTCTCGATTCCAATGGTCGACGCCAAGGCTAGTTCCTGATTCTAACAGTCACTGCCAATACCATGTGGATTTCAACCAATCTACTCCTTTCCTTAGGAGAACTCCCGCCAATGATCATGCTGTGCACATTTCACATATAATATGCATTTTAACAATCCTTTCTCAAACAATGAACTCACATCACACATTTGCTCATAATTAACTCATATTTCATCACAATTTTCCACCCATAGTAGTAAATCACAAATAATTTCATAAAACATTAAGGGTGGTAGAATCAAAGTTTTCTCTTCTCCAAAACCATTTCACAATCAAGTATTTGTCAATATGTATCATCAAATTAAACTCATCAATCACATTTCACTAACAATTAACATTCAACTATAAAAATTAAGTTTCTCCCGGTTACATAGTATGGGGTAAACCTTTGACCTCTCAAAGGATATCATTATCATCTAGCTCTTTAAGCTTTATCAATATAAAACTCCTCATACATTATTTTACCAACTCATAACCACTACTCATTCTTACCCAATGGGCTCATTAGATTTTATTAATGCACATTATCATTAATAACACCTCAAACCATCATTAATGCACATTAACCTCTCCCAACTACCTTATAAATACTAATTTTTGGATATTAAATGCTCCCATTGACCAACCACCTTCAAAATCATTAATGTGATATTTCAATACATTAAATCACTCCTATTAATCTCATTTTAACTAATGAAATCGGACCTATACTCATATGGTTTGAAAATCCATCGCCCAACTCAAACCCTACCATAAATAATCATAAATGAGGGAAAGAAAGGAAGAAGAAAGCACTATGATCTTACCTTGAGTGTTTGGGAGTTCCAATCTCCCAACAATGGGGCCAAATATTGTGCCCTAGTAGAGCCAAAACCAAGCTCTTCATTTTCCTCCTCTTTCTCTCTTCTGTTTTCACATAGCTCACGAGCTGATTTATTAGATTTTTGGCCATGCGTCATGGCGCACACTGCCGTCTATCACAACGCATGGCACAGAGGAGCCCGTTACATTCAAATTGTGTCCGTGCGTCATAGCTGACCAACCACGTGTGGCGACGTGTGGCATAAAAGACAACTCTTCACTTTTTTGTCCTCTTTCCTTGCCCGGGTAGCTCGCCATCGATCTGGACCCACTTTTAGGGCTAAGATCATAGTAATTATGCCAAGTTAAGCCCCTCTGGGCACACACCTTATTAACTCACTAACTACCTTAATTAAGTTAATAAATTAGGGTTAAAATTTTTTGGATGTTATAATGAACTTGTTCAGGAGCTTGCTAACAAGTGTGTCAGTACATTAACTTAACTTAATCCTTTTTTTTGCACTTAATCAACTAATTTAACTTTCTTACTATATATTACATAGGCCAAGATCGAGAAAAGTGGCATGCCTGATGATGATGTCTTGGGCAAGGCATTAGGTAATGCCGAACACCCTGGTCGAGTTAGGGGATATGACTTTGGTGTCTCAAAAAAAAAAAATATTCGAGTCACATAAGAAAGCAAGGTCAACAGAGGATGTTGGTGCAAGGGCTAAGATTGCCACCCTAAAAGAGGAGTTATCTAGGTAATGGGACATGATTGAAGCTTTGCTAAAGGACAAGGAGAGGAGGGAGGCAGAGTTTCATATTAGTCCTAGCGGGAAAGGTAGTTACAGTGTCATGCAGCCTATTAAAAATCTCCCCGAGGTAAAACATTATTAATTTATTTCACTTATGTTTCACTATTTCTATTTCTTATAACTTTAATATAGTATACTACTTATTAATATAGGGTGAGAACCTATGTGAGTTATTGGCGAATAGCCAAAATCATCATGTGGTTGCTATCGGTCGGGTGTTTAATTTGCCAGGAGACATATTACATAATATGCCATTGCCTGCATCCTATGTACATGTTGTTATTGATGTGCCAAAGGATTTGAACTATTCGCTACCTATTCCCATTGAGGACGCAGGGATTGTTGGAGAGGCAATGGGTAGTTTTATTGGATAGCAAGCTAGTTAAGTTAGGATATCAAGTCTTAAAAAACTAGCAAAGATGCATAGTAAAAAAAAAGATGATACCTCGATCTAGGCTCTCCTTTAAAAAGGCAGTCTCCCATAAAGCTGTACCTGAACAAGAGCCTCAATTGCCAAGCCAACATAGAAATTTTCTCCAAGCATATGCAATGGTTCATAGGTTTAATCCTCCAATCCTATAAATCCCATTCAAGGCTGGTATATATGGCAAAGACAGATATGATATGCTTTCGCTTGATGTTGTTGATGAAGTGCTTCAACATGATATGACCAGTCTCACTGTTCTTTGCTTCTACATATGGTAATTTTTTTTCATATATGAATAGTTAATATTTTAAATATAAATAATCCATTTCTTGTATTTATAATAGGTGCTTGTATGACAAATTTGTTGTCCCTTTCGATCTACAAATGAAGTTCGTCTTCATTAGTCCTTATGAAGTGGGTGCACATGCCTTAATTAAAAGCGACAAAATTTTAGAACAAGCAAAGGCATTAAGTGAAAATTTCAAAGTAAGGGCTCGAAAGGGAACATTATTCATAATACTATACTGTCAAGGGTAACGAAATTCTCACTTATCTTAATAATTTTTTTATTTTTAATTTAATGAATTAATTATAATTTTGCAACACTTATTAATACTATTATGGACCATTGGATGTTGATCGCCGCCGAACCATTTGGCAACACTTCAAAAATAGATTATCTCGATTCTCTTAGAGGGGAACTAGGGAGGAGACAAATTTTATTGAAGTTGATTAATACATAAGTGCATAAAGTATTTTACATATTTATTTAATTATTTAAATTTCATACTAACATATTTTTTACTGTTTCATTTGGGCGATTGTGTTATACTGCACTAACACAAAACAATCAATTCTAAGGTCCTTTACAAATTTTGATGCAGCATACACTTGGAATATAATTAAGATAATTAGAATTATTTATTAAAATAAAATTTAATGCATTAATACATATTTATCGATTATTTAATTTTTAGTGTCCAAGACAAAAAAAAAAAGCTTGGATTGTGGCTATTACATCATGAGGTTCATGAAGGATATCATTATCCATAACAAGAGCATAATTTCGTTGATGGTATGTTAAAAATATTAACTTTTAAATTACAAAAATATTTAACGTATTAAAATTATATTAATATATGATGGATCATTTATATATTACAGTACTATGATAATTCTTATGTTAAAGAATTCAGGGATGCAGAAATAAATGAGGTAATTGAAGAATGGTGTCAATACATATTTCAAGTGTAGACCTCATACAAAGAAGATTAACAGAACTACCTTGAAGAAGTATCTAGGAAGTTTTTTTTAATAGGTAGTTTATTTTTAAAAATAATTTAATTTATGTAATTACATTTTTTTATTGATTAATTTTGAAATTGAATACAATAAATTTCGTTGATATTCAAAATATGGAATGGTTAGCTGTTGCTATTTTAATTTCTTTTTGTAGGAGGGTTGGTATAAAAATAGCTCACGTATTAAAAAAAACCACATAAAAAATGATGGTTATATAAATAACCATCATTTATACTGATATAAATGATGGGTAACAAAGATACCTGTCATTTATACTAACTTAAATGACGGGTATCGTATTTACCCTGCCGTTTAAAGTATGGTGTGAATTTTTAACATACTTTAAATGACGGGTAAATAAGATACCCATCATTTAAGGTTAGTATAAACAACGGGTAAATTACTTACCCATAATTTAAAGTTCAATTTAAATGACAGGTAAATATTTTATCCATTATTTATACTTACTTTAAATGACGGGTAACTTATTTACCTGTCATTTATATTTTCATTTCGCTTGTCTTTCTGTAAAAATTTTATTTTAAATGACAGTTTTATAACTATCATTTATTGGTGGTCTTTAAATGTTAGCCGAATAAATGATGTGTATTAACCGTTATTTATGGATTAAAACAATTTTTATTTATTCTCTTTTTTATAGTAGTGATTAAATACTAACTAAATAAGGAGAGAAAAGCTCCTTCCAAAATCCTCTAACCAAACATGAAAAAGTAATTTTTTGTGATGATTTTCTGGGGCAAATTGTGTTGATGAATTAAGATAAGGGCAATTTTTGTCAATCAGTTTTTTTTTTTTAAAAAAATCTTGCTATATGGACCATTTCGTTCTTTCACATAGATCATTTCTGAATTTTAAGGTCTCTTTGTGACATTAATCATCAATGTTATCGATGGGTCTTCAATTTTCATTCTCCATTTATTTTATTTCTTATGTATTCATCGTCGTCGTCGTCGTATATATATATATATATATATATAATCTGTTGCTTTCTCTCACATATTATATAGATATCTTGGTTTCAAAGTTCCTTTCAAGTGTCAACCAAAGATGCTCCAAAGCCTCTAATCCAAACGAAATATCACAGAGGTAGAGAGAGAGAGAGAGAGAGAGAGAGAGAGAGAGAGAGAGAGAGAGAGAGAGAGAGAGGCAAGCATACATGGCTGAACTTCAAAGGTCTGTGGCATCTTTCAGAAGACAAGGCTCTTCAGGCTTGGTTTGGAACGACAAGTTCCTTTCAGCCTTCCAAGACCCCAATAACCAAACTAAACCTAACAACCAACAACCTCCTGATCCCCAACCGCTGCTCGATCGCAGCCGCTCCACCGGATCACGGCCTCACCGGGCCGTCAACGTCACCCTTCCTCCCAAGGATCCGCCGTCTCCTAAAGTTCCTACCTGTGGACTCTGTGGCTTCTTCGGCAAACAAGCTGGCCCCAATCATCTCACCAATCCAAAGTCAAAGAAACGTAGGTGATTTTATATATATATATATATATATATAGATATAATATGTATGTGTATATATGAACAATATCATGAGGATTTGAGCATGTAAACTTGGACTGTTTCTTGAGCCTTATATTGCCTCTTTTTCATCACTTGCGTTTTTTTGCGGTTGAGGTTCTTGTTAAGAATGTGTTTTCCATGGAATTAGAGCATATATATATATATATAGACATATGTATGCAATCCAGTTTAATGATGTATTGTACCTTTCATTGACTCTAATGTCCCGTGTTGATCATCTAGCTTTGCTTTGTTGATTTGATTTTCCTTTTTCAATTATTAATTCGTATGTTAATTCAGTTATTGATTGATTGTATTTTGTAGATTGTTTCATTATAATACACTTGAATTAATTTGACTTTTGATCGTCGGTACATAGACAAGGAAAAAATGGAACAAGGTATTTAGTTTTTATCAGATAATTTTACTTTTAGTGCTAATCACTTGATTTCAGATGCCTTGTTCCTTTCTCACAAATGGCTATATATATATATAAATGTGTGTGTGTGTGTGTGAAATATTGTTCGACTGCATATTGAAGAGGTCTTAAACTCCCTTGTCCTAAATGTAAAATCTAGATAACTAATTTATAGTATTAAACAAATTAATTAAATTAGCTCTTTTGAGAGAAGTGTATGTGCTGGTTTTTTTAAGGATATATTTGGTTCGAGCGGAGGGCAGGTGATGGAGGGGAGAGAAGGGGAGGGAAATCCTTTATTTGATTTAAGAGAGGAGGGGAGGGGAGGTAAGAACTAATTTACTATCATATTTTTATACATTAGTTTATTTTTTTAATTTTTTCTTCTAAAAATAATTTTACACCTCAATTTAAATTGTATGATTTTTTTAAAAAATTCACTCTTATCCTATCATATTGTTAATATGTGAAAAAAATTAAACCAATAATTATAATGATAACAATTTTTTATAAAAGAATAAATCACTCCCTTAAGTATATAATAAAATATGATGAAATGTAACTTTTTTTAAAAACATCCAATGAAGTTAGTTGATGTTTGGTAATAAAGCACAATCTGATATGAAGGAGAGAGGTTTTTTTTTAAACTATGAGTATACTTATAATATTAAAAAATAGATTAGGGCAAAATAGTAAAAAAAAAATTAGCTCCCCTCTAAAAAACCCTAATTTGGAGGGGAGCAATATGAAGGGGAGGGGAGGAGTTATTTTAGCTTCCTTTCCCTCCAAAATTTCTTAACCAAATGAGGGGAGGGGGACCTATTTTTAATTATTTGCATTGAAAACTATCTAGTTATTAAGAACCTTCAATTCACCACTACAAAAATGGCAATATTTAACGATTATTTTAACAAATATTTAACGGTTATGAACCATTGAGTAATCAGGCGCTGAATATTCTCTGAATCTTTATTCAATGGTTTTTAACCGTTGAATATTTATACTTTATTCAACGGTTTTTCTTCAAAAATCGTTGAATATATGTTTGAGATAATTTTGTTAGCATATCAGAGAGGTGATATTTAACGGTTTTTGACAAAAAAACTGTTGAATATTATTTATATATTCAACAGTTCTATGTCATAATCGTTGAATATATTTCTGATATTCAATGGTTGTGTCAAAAACCATTGAATATTTGATGTCATGATATTCAATGATTTTTTTCATAACCGTTGAATATTTTGAGTAAATTTTTTGCAATACAAGCATTACATTTCTAGCAACCCCTTATATTGAACATTTACAGATATAATATCTAGTACACCCATAATAGAATTTCAATAGCCAATAATATATCTTATACATGAAATTTATGCATTGCTACACAAGCTATAAACAATTTGAACTAGCTTAAATTAAACCAATAATTCACCAAACTCACAAATTTTGATAGTACCATCACTATCAAATAAATTTCATAACAAAAATAACTTGTCGTATAAATTACAACCATAACTATTATTATCAAGCATACACAAGTCTTTGAAAATGCAAGCTATTTGTATTAACTATCACTACCACAGAAAATACCCATACTTGACGCTTATTTTTCCTAATACTTGACAGTTTTTAACCGTCAAGTAAAGGTGCGATATATATTAAAGAAATAATACTTGACGGTTAAAAACCGTCAAGTATTAATCTTATACTTAATGGTTATTTGAAAACAACCGTCAAGTATATGAAGTAAATATGCACTTCCCAGAATAAATACTTGACGCTTGTTTCAAAACAAGCGTCAAGTATTTATGGCCAATGTTCTTTTGGCCATAAATACTTGATGCTTGTTTCCTTATAACCATCAAGTATTTACAAATACTTGACGCTTGTTTTGAAACAAGCGTAAACTATATTGATACTTGAAGGTTATTTTGAAATAACCGTCAAGTATTAATGACATAATTTTTTTTATATGGTAGCTGCTTTTAAAGCAGCCCCCTGCATAAAGATATAGATAAAGATAAAAAACAGCCAGCTAGTAATGAAAATAATGCAATATAATGAATGTTTGTAATAGTATCTCCTATCTAATTAACATAAAAATTCCTATACATTTAACCTTAAAATCTAAACTTATTTGCAAACTAATGTTTCAAAATTAAGTGGCCTATCCCATAAAAATTGGCCCAAAAATGTGTATATAAATGTAACTAACTATTGTACTGGCTTAACTACTGTTGCTACCCACATATTGAAAACACATTGGGCCATCTCTTCAAGGACCTCTTTTACATGTGCAGTCGTATAACGAACGCAATAGACGTCCTCGAAGTACTGTAAGCAAATAGTACAACAATTTCAAGTTAATAGGTAGCTAATTAAAATTGTTTAAAATTTATAATTGAAGTGTAATTAAATTTATATATATACCTTGTTAGATAATGTGGTAGGGGCATGAGTGATAATGTCCTTCATGAACTTCATCAAGCAATAACCACAGTCATTGCTCTGATCTGGTTCGAATGAACACTATAAAAAAATACATATCAATGAAATTGCAAAATATAATGAGACAATTTTTTGATTAAAAACTTGACCAATTAAATGAATACCTTAACAGTGACCCATTTCTCTGAAGATTCGAATGCCCTCATCTTAGGGGACACAGTCATGTCGGTCACAGTGCGATACAACACCACAGCTCTAAGAAGGAATTATGGAATGAATGTGAGAAATATATATGAATGAAAACTAAAATTAAAAAGAAATAACAAGTAAAAAAATATAACTTACTCATTAAAAAATACCACCATATCTTCCCTGTTGCTTAGCTCTCCATTAAGGGGATCGAGATACCATATTTTTGGAGCAACGAGATTAACCACAATAAGCATCTAGTGTCCTCTAACAAGAAACAGCACATGTTACCAAACAAATAAATATAAAAAAATATTTACTCGTAACAAATATTAACAACTCACCCTTGGCAGTAAGGAGCGAGAAATAAAGTATCCTTTGCTGTTCCCCTTTCTCGAAATTGATCCGAAAGCATTCTTGCTTGATTTTCAAGGGCTTCCTTTGTAATATTATTGTGGGGAGAGACATCATAAGGATTAACCAGCTTGATCTTTGACTCGAGGCCACCAGAAACCACGAATGAGGTATAAAGGTGACTTGGGTGAAAAAATATACAAGTTAATATGCTTGCATACTCACACACATAAATAATTCAAGAAATTAACTAATAAATGTTGAAGAATTACCTCATGTAGAAAGTCATCAAACTAGTGCTCGCCATATCGTGCTTGAGGATTTCATTCAAAATTTCATCCCGAACGACTTCAAATGATGCTCTACCAAATAGCCCATCGTCAAAATTAATGATATCCCTATCGGCTCTTGACGAATCATCCTCATAGCCGAAGCATAGGTCTCAAGAGAGTCACAAAATTGTGTTTTCTACAACAGGCATAGGCACTGCATGTTGCGAAACCGTGACTGACTCTTTAGTATGGCCCAACACCTTATCCTTCAATTTGCTTTTCCCCCTTGGCTATACAATGAAAACGTTAGACATATATATATATATATATAAGATTTTAAATAATTATATAAATCATATATATCTTTTTCTTTAATGGCAAAGGGTCCTTTGGCAGCTTTGGGTCCTTTGTTGGCTTTGGTGTACCAACCATAACAAGGTGGCTGGGCCATGCAACGAAGCTCCCCAATGCATCTCCTACCGTCTGCATCTCATCTGTAGGATAAGGTAATGGATACTTGGGGTCGATTGTAACAAGCAAGGAAACCCTAATGCAATCGGGCGGGAGGGGAAGGTTATGGATTGTGTCCCCGGCAATGTTATACACGCGTCCCGTTGTAACTACTTTGTGTGACGGATCGTCTGCTAAACAGTTGCAGTCATTCTCGCCCTAAATAAATGAAGAATGTTAGTTGTTTAGATAAAAAATTAGTTGAGCAAATTTAAAAGAGAAAATGCATTACCTCGGGTATTTTGTCTGAAGGGACTGTGTAGCTATCTTTTCTGCTGGGGCTAACATCACCCAAAAGCCTCCCAGGGATCTGGCCCTTCAATAACATGTCAATTAACTTCGCTTAGGCTTCTAGCTGTTGCTTCATAACAGCTTGCTCTTCTCTCAACTCTTGGACCTCAGATGAAGAAGCCGATGTTTGCTTCTTAATCTTGCCAAAGTATTGCTTCTTTGTGACACCGAAGCCAACACCCCTAACATGACCAGGGTAGTCAGGGGTCCCCAACGCTCTAGCTAAGATATCCTTATGCTCAGGAAGCTTGCCCTGTGATACTTCTTGAGAGAGGGAATCCTGTGAAAAGTAGAGCTAATTAGTATGCCTTTTAATAATCATTTATTAATTGATAGATAAGAATAACACTTACAATTTTTTCAGCAACCTCTTTCACACGAGGGTTGTCAATCACTCCATCTTTATTTGTTCGTGCCAATGCCCAGAGTCTTTGGCAGGATATAGTAACATTTGATCCCTTAGCCTCAACTTCTTTCTGCTCCACGCCTGCATACCCTAACCTCCCTGCTCTGTAAGGGTATTCATTCTTGGCCACTCTCTTCTTATTTTGGGCGCTCAGTTCCTTTAATCAATAACAAAAATATCCTGTTAGTACACATAGATATATTCAATAAAAGGCACTAAAATTTAAATTTTAGAAACATAAATACCTTAAATTCCTTCTCGCGCCGAGAGACAACAAAAGCATCTCAATCTTCTTACTTTACTAGGGGAGGAACATGGGCTACAAATTCAGCATCAGGGTCTTTCAAATAT